AGTGAATGACTTCCGCATGCTTTGTACGCTTTGTACGCGTTTGGTCTGAACGTACAGTTACTGCCTTGGCCGAACAGCACTGATTTAAGGCTGTAGGTCATTATTATGTTTATAGTATAATTGTCTAAATTTTACACTTATTGGAGCCCTTGCTTAGTGTCGCAATAGTGTAATTAACTGCAGGCATAAGGTAAAATTATGCATATTGCAATGACATCTATGATATTATGAAAGTGCAATTTTTTTCCCCACAGCATTGCATAAATAAGTTTTGTGAACATTTTAATGTTGAGTATTCTGTCTTTAATAGTTCAAATAGTTTAAATTTTGTCTCTCTTTAATAGTTTAAATACCTTTTGTGTGACTAACTTCCGGTCCCAAATGTTATTTACCAATAAGTCACTGGTGCAAAATGAATTATTACTGACAACAAGCACAAGCATAATTCCTGGTCTTGGCAGCGTGCAGTGCAAGTAAGCTTATGTTGAGAACACACAAAGATAAAACACCCTGCCGTTCACAAAAAAAGCTGATTCTTTTTACTGCAGAATTTGACACACCAAGTTTCCACCCAGGAACACATATAGGCTTTTGTTACACCCCCAGAGAAAGTTGTTCAAAGTTCAAGAGGCGTAAACTGAATTAGTCTGTATTCAGCTGTTCGTTTAAGCTGAACGTCTCAGGACTCCTACAGCTGCAGGACTGGCACATTATTCCTCATTATAATGATTGCATATGTTCTATATAGCGCTCTTGCAGGCTTGGTATTTTTGGCATTTTTGCTTTACTTGCAAAACCCTTATTTTGTGAAAGATTTAAGATATGCAGTTACTGCAATTCAAATTGGCATGCAACTGGGAAAATTCAAGAAGCAGAAACCGTTTTACAGTATTTTGGATCGTTTTCTGGATAAAGTTGCGAGGCACCCGCAGAAGAAGTTCATACTTTTTGAGGACAGCTCATACACTTACAGCCAAGCCGACAAAGAAAGCAACAGAGTGGCCAGAGCATTATCCATACATGCCAAGCTGAAAGAGGGGGACACGGTGGCATTGTTCCTGGGTAATGAGCCCCAGTTTGTGTGGATCTGGCTCGCACTGGCCAAGCTGGGATGCACAGCTTCTCTGCTGAACTACAACATCAGATCCAAATCTTTGCTGCACTGCTTCTCCTGCTGTGAAGCCAAAGTCCTGGTCGCTGGTGCTGGTAAGCTGCGATAAGATAAGATAATATGAATCGAGGTTCTAAGGATCGAGGGTGTAATTTGCCAGGGGTTCCCAAACTTTGTCATGCCAAGGACCAACACAATAGATGCACATTGCACCACTGACTCCCAATTTTAGAGGGCTTTGTCCTAAGAAATCCCCTCTGAGTAATACTTTTTATTTTTAGGTTTGAAGATTATGAAGTCTCCATAGACAATAATTAAACTAGAATCACTATAAATTATCACTGTCATATACTGTACAGATTCTAAACCCTCTTGAGGCAAATTGCAATTTTTGATATTGGGTTAATCTAAGGAAGCTGGGTTTGATCTGAATTGGCTTCATTCCCATGATTATCCACATCTGTATTGTTTACCCAATTGTGTTGTCACTGCACTTGACCTCCATGAAGCCTTCACTAGCTCTCTTATGCCTGTCTCTGTCAGACTTGCGAGATGCTGTAGAGGAGGTGTTGCCCACCCTGAACCAGCAGGGTGTCCGTGTGTTTATCCTCAGCGAGGAATGTGATGTGGAGGGCATTGAAAGCCTCTCTGATAAGATTCAGCAGGCCTCAGACCAGCCTCTGTCACCAGAGCTCAGGGCCAACATTAACATCAAGAGTCCTGCGCTGTACATCTACACCTCAGGAACCACAGGTAATCTGACCTTCACTTCTATGCATGTGTTTTTAGTGTGCTGGCCTTGAGCGACAGAAGAAGGACAATAAAAAATATGCTACTTCTGCTTTTATTGCGATGTTATCTCTTAGGGCTTCCCAAGGCAGCTGTAATTAACCATGAGAGGATATGGATGGCATCTTTTCTTCAGGCTATTGCTGGCGTACGCTCAGATGATATTGTCTATATATACCTGCCTCTGTACCACAGCGCTGGCTTTCTGATGGGACTTTGTGGAGCCATAGAAAAAGGTGATTTGTGGCATCATAAAAGTACAAAACATGATTTCCAGGCTACATTCTGAGTTTACTAAAGGTTAAACTAACCTAACCTAGGTGTATGACCTCAAATAACACGCAGTTTGGCTCAGATTACCACTATTTGTATTTCAAAGTCCTAAAGGTCGTACATTTACAACACTGAATTGAGCTCTCAATGTGAGACAATATTGTTGAAATTCTTCTTCTTCATTTCTAGGCACCACTATTGTTTTAAGACGTAAATTTTCTGCTTCCCAATTCTGGAATGACTGTAGGAAGTACAATGTGACTGCTATTCAGTACATAGGAGAAATTATGCGATACCTCTGCAACACACCAAAGGTAAAAACTAAATGAAATACACACAGTATGTTTATTTTTTTCTGACATCATTAACAACGTTGATACATTTATTAGAATCTTAAATAGTTTTGAAAATGAAAATTTTGCATGATGAGCTAACACCTGCAGCACTAACACACACTGCCTTTACTCAAACAAAGACAATTCTAATGTGGTGTTTATTATCCTTGTCTCACCTCTCCCTTCCTCTCCTCTAGAGAGACAATGACAGAGATCATAAAGTCCGATTGGCTTTGGGGAACGGGATAAGGGCCGACACATGGGCTGACTTCCTGCAACGGTTTGGGGACATTCGTATCTGTGAATGCTACGGAGCGACAGAGGGAAATATTGGCTTTGTCAATTACGTTGGCAAAGTTGGAGCAATTGGCAGGGAGCATTTTCTCCACAAAGTAAGAAGGGGATTGGGAATAATGCTGTTTATTTGTTCCTTATGCACAAGTTTCAGTATTTCATTGAAGAGTAACATTTAACATCATGGGATAAACTTGCAGGGGGGGGGGGGNNGGGGGGGGGGGGGGGGCATGACTGATTATTTTATTATTTTCCATATGTTTTATTCTTGAACTGTTTTTCAGATGGGGTGTCCGTATGCCCTCATAAGATACGACACAGAGAAAGAGGAGCCTGTCAGAAACTCCAAAGGATTTTGTATTGAAGTCCCCAGAGGTGAGCCAGTTTCCTCAGAAAATAGGGCTCTCTCTTGACCTTTTTGCTCTTATTAATACACATCCCGTGCTTGTTGCATTCACCCACAGGAGAGACCGGTTTGTTGGTGGCAAAGATTGGAGAAAGAACACCTTTCAGCGGCTACGCCAAAAACAAGCAGCAGACAGAGAAGAAGAAGCTGAGGGATGTGTTTGTGAAGGGAGATTTCTACTTTAACAGTGGCGACCTTCTAAAGATAGACAATGAGGGGTTTGTCTTCTTTCAAGACCGCATTGGAGACACTTTCAGGTCCTTGAATGAAACAAGTTGAATTGGTGGAGTTTTTCCCCAACAATGCTTGTATTGTAATCTTACATATTATCCAATGTAACAAACTGTTCCCAGTGCTAAATGAAAACGTTTTAAACATTTCAGTTATGCACGTACTGTCTTTGTATTGTCATTTAATACAGGTGGAAAGGAGAAAATGTGGCAACCACAGAGGTAGCCGATCATTTGCTCATGGTGGACTGCGTTGAGGAGGCAAATGTCTATGGTGTGAAGGTGCCAGGTAATGATTGCATTATTAGCAATCAATTAAGATTCATAAAGGGCATGCTCATTAGATAACGATTATCTGAAAGATCTCATGTTGGCGAAAATGTGAAAGGCCAAAACCTATAAGCACTATTGGTTTGAGTCTGGCGTTTTAAAGGTTATTTTAAAGGCATTATGAAACACGTGCAGAGCTGTTTATACTCACGTCCTCTAATAACCCCTTCTTTGTACTTTGGGCTTGACTGATTAGGACACGAAGGAAGAATTGGAATGGCAGCACTCAAGTTGAAAGAAAACATGGACTTTGACGGCAAAACGACATATCAGCATGTCAAAAACTATCTCCCCAGCTATGCAAGGCCGCGCTTCATTCGCATACAGGTGAACAAGTTCTACTAAATTTACATTATAAGATAAAAATAATCATGAATTTGACTGAAAATGTCTTGCAATATAACCACTTATTTTTCTCTGGCAGGATGCACTGGTAGTAACTGGGACATTTAAGCAAATGAAGGTGAAACTGGCGGAGGAGGGCTTCAACCCTGCCGTCATCAGGGACCCTTTGTTCTACCTGGAGGACAATAAGGGCTACGTACCTATGACTCAGGAGATATTCAACTCCATCGCAGAGGGAAGAGTCAGGCTCTGAATGAGTTCAGTGTTTATTATTGGATTGTCAACCTCAAATAGTACATTTGATTTTAAGGTTTGTATGTGATACAGGATGCCAAATAATGATAAATGATCTGCACACTGGGTGTTTATGTACAGCACATTTCATGAGATACTTTGTCTTCTATGGAGAATAATGCACACGGAAATATATCAAGGGATATAATTGTGTTTGAAATACATTTTAATAAAAATATATTAAAAACATTGATTGTAAATGAGCAAAGCAATCCCAAATCACACAGTTAGATAGTGATCTTCATTTTGCCAAGAGCTGAGTGTGCTGGCTCACCACCAACACAACTGGAACGGTAGTAAAGGGCGTGATTATCAATAGTTGTATTTCTGTGTGTGAATGAACTACTGTACACTGCTGTCGGGATCATTGCAGGAGCTTAGGTGCAGTGGCAGTTTCAAGCGGAGTAGGAGAGGGAGCTGTGTTGGCTACAGGAGACAAACAGTTTATTCTTCTGCAGGTGGAGGTCAAGTGTTTTTGAGCTGTCTGTGAAACCTTCAGAGGGCAGCACACCTGGTGCCGGCCACACTGCACCCACTGGTTGCAGAAACTTGGCACGCTGTAGAACTTTGTAAGCTTTTTCAGGACCTGTTTATCCAAAATATTTGAAGGCATCTCTGTGATCTCAAACACAGGATCAGGTCCTGCTGTTGATGGCGTGGGGAGGGCACCTGCAGCATCTTTAGGATTAGGCCGCGTTTCGAAGTCGTAGCCAGACATTGCCCCAATGTAAGTGTAAGGCAGAGGCTCGCTGTTGCAGCTAAGAGAGCGCATTGGTCTCCTAGATGGATTCCAAGCCTTATCAATCCACAGCTCCACTTCAGCTTTGTCCAGCCTGAAGGCAGCATCCTCTGTCTCCTTGGATCTGGTGTCTGAGTTAGGGTCTTGGTTTTCTTCAGCTCCTATCACCTCATCTTTCCCTGATTTTGGTTGGTCTGCATTGTTCAGAGCCTGTGTCTCAGCCAGAAGAGCGGAAGCCGTTTTGGAGATGATACTCCAGTCCTTAAGGATGTCGTCTGCAGTAGTGAATTGTGAGGTCACCGTAAATCGGATGATGCGTTTGTTGTGGATGTCTGCAGGGATGAGGTACATAGTGCCTGACCGGGTCAGCCTCCTCAACAGCTCCTGGGTCAAATCATTTCCTTCCTAAAATGAGAAAATGTCATAAAATATAATATATATAGATATTGATCTGCCCTCCACCTGTGCATGATAAAACTACATTATTCGGTAACTCACCTTTGAACAAGGTGTGACTGGGAAGATTAGTCATCTTAACAATGATTAGCCAGTGAAAGACATGTTGCTTAACAAAGATAAAAGACCTACTTTGAGACAGAAGACCACCAGGCCAAGGTGCCTCTCAGCAGGAACCTCAAAATTTGGGTCACTCCTTATGTTAGACTCCAAGAGCTTTGCCATCTCAATCCCCTAAAAAAGACATTTAAAAAAAAAAGACAAATATACATGTAGATTCTCAAACTTAAAAACAAATACAATTTTGTGGGTTGTCACAGAATTCCTTACAGTAAATACACTATATATGAAGTCCCTCGATTGATGATATCAACTGAATGCCACTTACGTGTCTGATATGAGCCTGGAGGTTTTTCAATCCAAAAGAGCGCATAACAAACCAGAGTTTGAGAGAACGGAAACGTCGGCTGAGTGGAATCTGCCAGTGCTGAACAACAGAAAAAAGTAGTGTCATTGCACAAAAATGATTCACTATGACAATCTAATCTCTGTTGAAGACATCACAGCGTAATACCATATAGTCCGTGGCTGCCTGTGAGTTTTCATGTCTGAGGTAAACAGGATCAACAGTGAACGTCTGTTGGAGCTTATATTTATCCTTTACCCTGAGAACACAAAGTTAAACCATGTTAACAGCTATCAAGCATCCTTCCTATTTACTTTTAAACCTACTTTTAGAGGTCAGATAGGGCTATAGTATTCTTGTGTTCTCACTCACCAGAAAGCTGTGCAGTCAAAGTGGACCATCATCCACTTGGCAGGGTTGAAGACAAAAGAATGAGCAAATTCAATCCCCTTCAGAGACCAGCGGAGCTCAGGACAGACATAGGCTGAGCCAGCGTACGCAGCATCAACATGGAGCCACAGTCCCTCTTCTGTGCCTGTAACAAATATTTAAATACAATACTGTAATTCTTCTAATGCATCTCAATGGAACGACTTCACCCTCTTAAAGCAAAACATATTGGGAGTAAATCTGAAGACGTACAGACTGGTCCCAGTTCAGATAGATTGTCAAAGGCACACACTCCTGTAGATCCCAAAGTGGCACACAGCTGAACAGGAGAGAAACAAAATCACAGATAATATGTCACATTTAATGTTTTTGTTTTGTTTTTTCATACTGTACTTTTTAACTTTTTTGACTCTCTATCTTCTATCAATATCAATGACCTACAAAGTCTGAAGCAAGAACAGCAGAAAACTCCACCAGAGGCTGAAAAGCAGATGTTAGGTTGTTTGGGAAAGACATACATTTCGTAATGTCTTGCACTGATGAAATTGCCATTTGACAGCAGACTTTCAAATCTCAGATGTTGGACTTTGTTTGAATACAATACAATACAATGAAAATGAAATTTGAAAATGAAATAAAGGTTAATAAATGTCCACTACAATTAATTTCTGTTCAGTTCTGTATATTTCAGAAGATGATCTGGCATAATCTGTAAACACTCCATGTGTGATAAAAGAAATTGACTATACAGGATGGGTTGGCAACTAAAACATGAAAAAAACACTGGTATAATTCTGAGGTCAAATACTTACCATGAAAGGCACCAGTCCCATGCACCTGTCCTCTTGTATGGCTTGTTTTAGAGTGTCTCCTCTCAGGGACAACTGTTCATCAGTGGGCAGAAACCTGATCTTCACCAGGGAGATTAGACCTGCCTTCTCAACTGAGGAATGAGCCTGTAAAAGCAGTCGCACATCAAATTAGTTTCTCAGTTTATTTCTTCTGATTTATAGGAAGTTAGTTGCATAAGAAGCGGTTACACTGACCTGATCTGAAGCATATGCAACCAGTCTGGAATTTAGAATTGAGTCGTCCACGTCCTGGTCGAGCTCAGCCCGCAGCTGCAATATTTTGTCTTTCCTGGCTGCCAGCAGAGCAACAAGTGTGCTCTCACTGACAGTGCTCTAACAGGAGAGTCGGGTTAGAAAAGAACAGTAATAAGCTGCCAGTTCACACAAAGACTACTGTACTCAAATAATAAACAGATCAATGTGTTGCAGACCTGCAGTATGCCTCCGCCTCTGCTCTCAGGATGGTGATGGAGGAAGAAGGAGGGGAGCCCCAGTGCTTTACACAACCAGTCCAACACATTCATTTCCAGTTCTGTACAAGCTGGGTTGGCGGCCTGTTCAAAACCAGCACCGACAATATAATTTATTCAGACCGTATGACTTCATTCTTGTGGTGTTTTTTCGCTGTTTTTAGATAATGTAGTGAAGAAAAAAAGTGTGGGTTGTCCCCATTACCCAGGTGAATCCAACACAGTTGATGGCATCGGCCAGCATGTCCCCGAGCATAGAGGGCCATGAAGTCAGACAGGGGTAGTAGGCATGCATGTGAGGGCTTTGCCAGTGAACCACCTGGGGAAAAAGATGAGAAAATACTTGTTGCCTTGTCTTTGTTTCAAATTACTGATATGATGATGGATGACAGTAGGAACTTACTCCTGGCATGATGACTTTCTCAATGTCGTTGAAGATACTCTCCCAGTCCTCCGGCTCTGTGGGTGCGGTGTCGGGGAGAAGCTCCTTCATGTAACCCGGCTTCACATCTGGAATCACCTTCCTCTCCCTGATGGAGCCCAGGTACTGTGTGATGTAGTCCACCAGCTCCTTACCTGATCAGTGACAGACACTGTAACAGCTGGAATGATATTTCTATTAAAATGTATAATTCAGCTTTATTTTGCCTATTGTTGATTTACTTACTTATTATTTGCAATGAAATAAAACAACACAGACAGTCAATATAGTCAAATGGAGCCTATGATTACCTCTGCGATTGTATTCCTCAGCCTGCATTTTTTTCTGGAAGAGAGCTCTTTGAGTTAACTCGTTGTGTGTAACAGGTAGCTACAATGATGCTTTGTATATTCAGTGGTGGAGATCGCAGAGATATATAGATCCTGTTGTGTAGAACACGCCCTAAGTTGGTGACGCACTTGAACCGCCAACCAGATGATCTTCACATGTTCTTCTTTTCATCACTGGAATCGTGAAATCACCCATTGACTCTGCATTTGTAGTAAATATTTACCCTTCTTTGGTGGTAATGATTTATTTATTCACATCTCAGTGATGCTCTACATGATACTGCATAGGATGATATTATCATCATTGATAGTTTAAGTAACAATACTCTTTGTGCATTATATACATACATCAATCCCTCTGCACCTGGAACATATATAAAGAGAACATTTCACAGTATAATTATTTAATGTACAATATAAAACTATATACTTATTATAGATTATGATTATTATCATTATTATTATATTATTATAATTGACTTCCTATATATACACAAGTATCCTATACAAGTACAGGTCCATATATCTAAAACACATTTCATTATACATATATATATATATATATGGCTGCACATGTTTTACAATATAACTTTAATATAAGGAAAATATGTGATGTACAGTAATACTTTATAATGTATTAAACAATAATGAGGATCTTTAAATTTGGCTTAACTTATGAGCAGTAGGGGTGGTGGTAGGGGGATTTTTTTACCTTTGGACAGAACCAGACTAGCTGTTTTCCTCAGTGTGCTAAGCTAAGCTAACTGGCCTCTGGCTCCAGCCGTATATATTAACTGTACTGTACACAGAGAGAGTGGTATCAATCTCCTCATCAAACTCTTAACAGAAAAGCATCTAGAAGCTTATTTCCCAAATAGACGGAGTCAAACAATTCATTTTAATATATTCAAGACTTGACCAGAATATTTAACTCAAATTATATATTTGGACCATGAAACTTCTAAAACAATGATGCCTTCTCAGCTGGCAGACAAAACATCAAAAATGTTCTCATATTTGATACAATTAACAGTCTGTGCTATTTCCTCTTCTCATCTTGCCAATGCATTACAGAAGATGTCAGAGCAAAGCAATATTTGTATTGGATGATGACTCTTCACAAACAAATAGAAAGGTTAAGGGGACAGTCTAAACAAAATCAACAATGAATGAGCACACAGTAAAAGGTAATAGGATGATGAGGGCAAACTCATCTATGTCACAGCTTATCGCTGCCTTTTAAGCTCTGACAAAAGCTGGAGCAGCACCTGGACTGTTCACACACTGTGCTGTTTACCGTGCATTGTGCTCAACATGTGCTAGCTCTCCTCTGGTTCTAAGCGTCTAAGGACGCAAATCTGACCATAATTCAAACATGCTAAGCAAGCATGCATTACGTTATACCAAAGAGACTATGATGAGAAGCAATCAATTCATTCCATTTCAATGAAACTAATAAAGCACCAGAGGTTGTTTATCTAAGCCATTTGAAACTGCTAGTGATCCTATACATTCATATTAAAACTGCAGATTTAATGAACTTAGATTTTATTTTCCGGAGGTTGATTTTGTAGAAATAGAGTCTGCGTACTGTATGTGTACTTTTTATTAACAACACATACAGATGATTCTTCAGACACACTCCTTTTTATTTCTGTACAGCATCTGTAAGGATTTAGGACGTGTATGCTTGTTTCAGGTTTTTCAACCAGGAAAATACAATGCAATTTGTGTAATGTTAATGTTTAGTTTTTTATACATATAGATGCAATTTTGTACTGGATTAAAACAAATTTAAAAATAATAATCTTTGTGTTGCATTGTAACACATTACACACATTCAGCAGATATGAGTTACTACATCTGTTCAGTTTGTAATGTCCAAGCTGTTCCACTGTGTAAGGTCATGTTTGCTATTAAACTAGTCACATTTTAACATATGAACAATGTCCACAAAACATCATTTGATAGTTTATTCTTGCAAATGCTGAATTACAGTTGAGCTTAAACCCACAAGTTCTTTGAATCCGAGCAATAACTGCTACACAGACTTTTGATCCCACTGAAGACAGGAAGCCCAGTCGTCGGCAATGACTAGAGTAATGGTAAATATGTGTGTGGTACAATACACAAAATAAGTGTTATGTGATATGGAGCAGAGAACACTGTGACTATTGTGCTTTTTGTGTACCTCTATGTCCGGAAGTCTGAGTCTGATGAAAGCAGGTTTAATCATAATTGTGCAATTGCAGTTCGATCTTTGCCTTGAGACATCAAAGTCAAAGTGCTTCCTAATGGATGCTATTCTGTTGTTTTTACTCAAAAAAGCTGAAAATATCAACATGACATCAGTCTGTCACAAAGGAAACCTTAGGTTTTATAATAAAAATAATTCATAGACGGAGGATTTGGCCACTTAGAGCAGAAAAGATACACTGGCTAATGATGAGTCAGTGAACGAAGGTTACAAAATACGAAATAGGAACTAACCGCTTCCTAGAGTGGACGTTTGTGAGTGTTAATGCCTAAAAAAGTCACCATTGCACTCTGCTTTACCATGTTCTTTAATTTAAATCCTCTGCAGCACTTTGTTAACATTGTGTTTTTAAATGCTTTTAGTTTACAAAATTTGTGCAAAGCAAAACTCCTTCTTCTGGATAATGTTTTAATCCAATATAAAAGACTTTATTGGTCATGGAATCCAAAAAGTTTAATCTCACAATCAAACAGTAAGAGATTGTGAAACATTTATGATATATGGATTTATTTCAACACCACTTCCGCTATAATCACACTGTATTGCATTGCAAGTAATGTAATTTAAGTGTCATTTAGTTTTTTAGATCCAGTTTTTCACCGACATGATTATTGGTTTACAACCGTGCCTCTTTAGAAATATTTATATATCCTTTTTATATATTCCTAGCTTTGATAAGGACCTGACCTATATATCCGTTTATATGACTGTTGTTTAGCCACTGTACTATGCAACTGTAGGCTACCTGATCCTTCTAAAAATCAATATTTCAGTAATTAACTCTGTGTATGTAGAAGTATGGGTATAAGGGAAAGAAACAGAAAGTTATATAACTTTTTTTATAGGTCAGGCTCTAGCAGGCACCATAGACTGTATATAGGTAGGTATATCGCTGTACTTACACACAGTCCGCAGAACAAAGATACAGCCAAACAAAGCAAACATAAACACATTATATACAGGGAAAAGCTAGACAACATACCAGTATCAGATTGACACTGTTGATACACGGTTGTGGTACAAGTGGAGCAAGAGTGCAGGGCAGTGCAAAGAAATGGCAAGATTAACAATGGGACATAGCAACGTGAACACTAAGCCTATAGGAATGCATCTGACTGGTTTATGAATAATGCAAAGTATCTGAAACATTCAACAATGTGTGATGATAGCAAACAGGAAATATGTAGCAGAGAGGGCATACACACTGAACTATAAAAAAAATGTAGGCTATTATTCATGTATAAAAAGAGTTTTTATTTAAGTCTATGGGCAAGACTAAGAGTGGTTAGTGATGCAGAGATTTAACTCGGGAAGGTGGCAGTAATGCAACATTAAAGATGCCAGCTAAGAACAGAAGGGAGGAGACCGTTTTACCCAGACTGAAGTTTGACCACACAGGGTTAAATAAAACATTGTTTTTAAGTAAAGGTCAATCAGATGAATGTTTGAAATATAAAAACAAAGAATGTGTAGAACATACACTGTTGCATTGTAGAAAATATAGGGAAGAGACAAGTCAGGCAAGAAGAAAATGGAAACTAAACAATAGGTCTTTTATACAAAAGATATATTCATCGCATTTTTCTTATTTGTATTATATACCAAATAGTTAATTTTACCATAGGCAACTAAAATTGTGCAATATATATTATCTCTACGGGGTTTTTTTTATATACAAGAGTTTTATAATACTTTTATATAAAAGTTTTATATCTATTTTGTTCGACTGTACATACTGCCTCTCTATTCCTGCTGTGTGTCATTGTAACGTCATTTCATTTTGATGCAAATCCAAATGACAAATAAAGTCTGTCTAAGTCTAACACAGAAAGCCGCTGTGGAATATTTAAAGCATATAGGGTTATATTATACGAATTAGTTAGGTTTTTATTATTATACTTTTTTTTTTAAATGTGATTTCTTTATTTAATTTTGATGTACAGTAGTCTCATATAACCATAACTCACTCTACATTCTCCGGTGCAGTAGGTGGCGGTATGCACCTTAGAAGTCATGGTTGCAACCCGACATGAAACCAAAAGAAGAGGGGGAGGAGGAAAAAAGGAGAAGAGGAGGAGGAAGGAGGAGGAAGGAGTCAGGAATCAGCTGTCAAAAAAAAGTGGCAGAAGTGTAAGCAACGGATCAGAAAGAGGTAATTTTTAAATGAACGTTATGTTATCGAGAAATCGGCCCGTATATAACGTTATGTGTGTCGGCGCTGTTACTATAAAACAGCTCTTCACTGCCGGATGTGATTGTAGCTGTGGGATAACGTAACTGCGTGACTTCACAGCTAACTAACGTAGCTAGTGGCTAACTTGGAAGGTAACAAAAGCCAAGTTAACATTTTGATGAGTTAAATTGTTACACCAAACCAATGTTTTTCGTTCATGCTCTACGTTAAATAAAATGTCTTGCTATGTTAGTCGGCCAGCAGGCATCCAGTCAAGGCACAATGTCGCGGCTAACATTAGCCTTTAAACTATTCCCCTTGTTGTTGTCGTCAGTGTTGACATTTACTGCGACAGCTAACTACATCCAGGAGCTACCTGATGTTCGCTGTCAGTGAGAGCAACACTGTCGTCGACATGCCTTGTTTTCAAGCTTAGCGTATCGTAAATGTGGCCTTTTTTTTTTTAAAACAGAAAAGTGAAAAACTCAATTGTTTTGAATGTTGTCGCGGTGACGTTACTGCTAAACGATAGGCAATCTTGTTCGATAATAATTGTTTTGTTTTAGGAGGCAGCGTGTGTTGACTGTATTTCGCTGTGACAAACGTGTTTCCAGAGATGTCCAGAGCTGGTGTACAGGACTGACTGGTTGCCTGCCTGTGAGCTCTGACTGAACAGCCGCGAAGATGCCTGCTGTATCCACCGGGGTCAAAGAGCTGTATCTGTCCACATCTCTGGGTGACCTCAATAAAAAGGCTGAAATTAAGGCAGACAAGACGAGCACCAGAAGGTAACGTTAGGTTTCTTGTTATTTGTGACGACTGTGGTATTGGTTAAGTCATCCGTAGCCCTGGAAAACACTCCCATAACACAAAGGATGTGAATTTTTCTGTGCCTTTCTAGCATCACTTAGAGCGAACGTGCCACAAAGGTCCCCTGTCAGACATGAACCGAGGACATCGTAATCACATGGTGATAAAAGTATTTTTGTTTTATATATATGCTGTCTTACAGCTATGTCCAGAGTGCCTGCAAAATCTTCAAGGCGGCAGAGGAGTGTCGTCTGGACAGAGATGAGGAGAAGTCTTATGTCCTGTACATGAAGTACTTGACAGTATATGACATCATCAAGAAAAGACCAGACTTCAAGCAGCAACCGGTAAAGTTAATAATTGACAATTGTAACATCTGTGTGTTTTATAACTAACTTTAAGGGGTTAGTATTTGCTATGTAAAGACTTGCTGACAAGTTAAATTTTTTTTCCCGAATTAAAGTTTGTGATTTCTGAATAACTTTTTTTTTTTTTATTTCAATGTACAAAGGAGTATTACATGACCATGCTTGGGCCAACCAGCTTTAAGAAAGCCATCGAAGAAGCCGAGAAGCTCTCTGAAAGCCTTAAACTCAGGTTAGAGGCTTTGTTGTGTTAGATTGTACACACCTTATTATGTTATGCACGATAGGACATCAGAATGTGAGGATCTAATCACATTTCTCTGTTTTACCTGACTTATCTTTACATTTTAAACAGGTATGAGGAAGTTGAGGTTCGAAAAAAACTTGAGGAGAAGGAGAGACAAGAGGAGAAGAAAAGGAAGGAGGAAATAACAGAGAAAGAAGGTGGTCGAGGCTCTCCAAAAGTATCATCAGCAAACAAGAAGGACAGCAAAAAGGTAGAGATGGTAGATAATGAATACAGTGTTGTGGTATTTGCATATAAAAACATATTGACGTGATGCAGACACCAAACCTTTACTTTGCCCAGTCAGACATAATCATTTCTTTGTCTGTATGTCAGGTAAAAGGAGAACAGAATGATCTGAAGAATGCAACCTCAAAAGGTAAGCAGGATAACACAAAAGAGAAACTGGCTGCGATTATGTTTAATTCTAAACCCATTAAGTCTTTTTGGAGTGTGATAGATTTTTACAGTTATTGGTCTTGTGTTGACTTAATGACTTTATCTCATAGCTGTGGTGCCAGCTGGTGGGATCACAGCTGAGAAACTTTTCAACATGATGAAGGACCAGACGATTACAATAATTGTCATGGACGCCCGCAGCCACAGAGACTTTGAGGAGTCTCACATTCAGGTCCCAGCCCAGACCTGCATCTGTGTGCCTGAGGAGGCCGTTACCCCAGGGTGAGAAAGGGGTTTGGAGACAAGGCATACCTAACTGTTTGATCTGACACTAAATGTATAATTCATAATCTGGTTTTGGGAATGATAATACAAACAAATCTATTCTCTATTCTCTAATTTGCTTTAATTTGTTTTCCTGTTCCCTTTTGTTTGTGTCATCATCTGTCAAACAATGAAAGATTCTCAACTCTCTGACCTCTTGAACTGTAATGTCATGCCTTTTCAGAATCACTGTGACTCAGATTGAGGCAAAGCTGCCGGATGTGTCCAAAGAACATTGGAGACAACGTGGATTTGTGGATTATATAGTCCTGCTGGACTGGTTCAGTTCTGTCACTGACCTTACACTGGGCACCACCTTGCAGAGCCTCAAAGATGCCCTCTATAAGGTAACTGTGTGTGTGTGTGTGGTCTTTGTGCACTCACTTATGTGTAACTCTTAAAGTGTTAATAACAACAGCAGAACGTTCCTGTGAATCATAGTAATGTGTTTGCACACTACAGTGGGACAGTATCACCATCCTGCGCAGTGAACCGCTGGTGCTGGAGGGAGGCTACGAGAACTGGCTGCTGTTTTACCCCATGTACACAACCAACGCTAAAGTTCGGCCACCTAGACAGAATATCACTAACACCCTCCCTCTGTGTGAGTATCACCAGCACAGCATGAAATTACAGCTGTGGTGCTTTGTGTTTATCGACCCCCTGGGTTTTTATTTATTACCTGGGTTTGTGTTACTGCAGCTGCTGTTATTTTATTTTTAGAAATTTGTAAAACAAAGCGGGTTCATTTCTGCCCGAGATTCAAAATGTCACACTTTAGACTCCAATTTCAGATTTGGCATTCACCACAAAATCTATATCTGAACCTTACACATTGTTCTTTTCTGATTGGCTCCCTTCCTGAACGCTCAATTACAACAACGGTCAACAAATAAAATCTGTTACCAGCTATTGTGGTTTCATACTGTAGGGTACTGTTTTTGATAACAGTACAGTAGTTTCTAAAGCATATTGTAGTGGTCAACCTGAAAAATTATGGCCAGTAACACTGTGAAGGCTGTTAAGTACAGTGTAGCGGGACTCTTCAGTCTAATGTTTCTAAGAAATTATTCTCCCTTAGATGTATTTTAATTCTTTTTCATTTGTTTTGCACAGTGAACTTTAGCTACCCATCCCTAGAGGAACCAAAGCCTCCGACCCCACCTCAACCAGAGCCAGAGGATACACCTGAGCCTCAGGAAGTCTTTGCTCCTGTGCAGGTGAACGGGGTTGCACCCGCAGAACCCCCCATGTCTAAAACTTCTATGGTTACTGACAGGTTGCCAGACACTGTCAATTACCCTGTCACAGGCTCCACAAATTCTTTGCTAGACCTTAATAAGAAGGGCCCTGCGGCAGGCATATCCAGCCAGTCGCCTACAACAGCCAAGGCCTTCCCACAGGTATTGTATCTACTCTGATAACTATTTAACTTTTGGAGAATACAAAACATGAAGGACTCCCAAGTGTGTCTAAACAACACTGGTATTTTGTTTTTCTGTCCCAGTTTGACCGTACCAAGAAACCCTCCGTCCGGGTGTCGGACGAGCCTAAGCCCAACCAGAATGGGTCAGCGAAGGAATCCACACAGAACGGCCCAGTTGTCCCTGACCGCTCAGTCAAACCACCCTACTCCTCCAACGCGTCTCTGTCGAAAGAAGAGCAAAGTCAAATACACTCTGAGGCGGTGGCAGTGATGGAGAAGGCGAGGCAAGAGCAGGAGAAACGCATGCAGGAACGTCGTTTAGAGGAGGAGAGGCGGGAGAAGGAAGAGGAGGACAAAGGACATCAGGACAAAAAGAGACTTGAGAGGCAGAAGGCGGAAGAAGAGGAAGACAAAGAGAACCGGGTGTGGGAGGAGAAAGAGAGGAAGGGAAAGGAGCAGAACTCTGATACACCCTCGAAGAGTATGTCTCTGGACTCGCCTGCTCCCAACCATATTGTTAGTGAAATTAAGGTGAGTCCTCTTTTCAGAGTATGGATCAGATGGTGACATTAGAGTCCTTTTTAAAGTCTAGTGTCTTCGATCTGTTGCTAAAAGGAAACTTGTGAAATCCTATCACACGGCCCATCAATCTGATCTGATGACATGAAGGATTCAAAGCTGCTTGGCTCCTGTGAAGCTTAGTACTTAGGTAAATTAAAGAGCAAAGCCCCAAAGAAAATTATTTATAAAGATAAAACATCTAATAATGTAATACATCTTTTATACAGCTGCATATTGAATCCACATTTGACCCAGAGACTGTGGCTCCACACACTTCTTCCATACTATATAATTACCCCGAATGACATTGCAGAGGTACCAAATAAAGTTTCCCTTTCAGTTCTCTCTGCACGCTTCCTCTCACACTCACCCGAGTTTCCATCTCACTGCACTGGGCAGTGCCAATTTGACGTTCTCATATTAGTTTTGATTCCAGCAATCATCTTTCCAAAGACATTTGGTATATAAAGATGAAATTTACGATTACCATTATTGATTCTGCATTTCGGTCCGATTCTTTGTTAATTACCTTATTGATTCCTGATAAATTTTCTGTTGTACTTTCAGTGTTAAAGTAGGCCTACATAGATTTTCACCATCAATGCAACAGTTTTATTTTCTCTGAGCCTGTGTAGAAAGAGTAGTTGTAGTAGTTTGAGTTTCTTTGTGAAGGCCACATTTCCTTCTCTCCATCATGACTCCTTGTTGTTGCAAGTGTCCAGCAGCGTCGACGCACAAGTTTGACGTAATTGTTTTGCAATGCGTAACTGTAAGAAAAACATACGGGCATTAATAAAAAGGAATTGATAAACTCAGTGGCGTACGATTCTGATAGATCGGACATTTTGGAATCGGTTCTCAATTCTCACCCTCTTGGTTTATGAGTCAGACAGTTTGAACAATGCCAGAAGATTCAGAAAAGCCCCATACATTACACTAATTTTTGTCGTATAAGTGAAGTCAGTGTTTGTATGTTTATTCCACAGAGGGAGCCCCTGACTCGAGCAAGGAGTGAGGAGATGGGTAGGAGTGTACCAGGCCTTCCAGACGGTTGGATGAAGGTACTGGATGTTTAAATCTAAAATATGTTGAGTAATTTGGAGTTATTGAAGATAAAAATAATTGTTTAAAATAAATGCTATTTCCTTATGCCTCATTGTTACTTTCTACCTAATGTGTTATATCTTTTCTTGTTTACCCCTCCCTTTTTTGACTAGTTCCTTGACATAGTAACAGGGACCTACCGATACTACCATTCCCCAACAAACCGTGTTCACCTGTACCCCCCTGAAGTCACCGTTCCCCAGACCCCACCCTCTACACCGCCAACAGTCAAGCAGAAACCACCACAACCAGCTGAGCCGGACGCCAACCGTGAACGAGAGCGGGAGCAGTCCAAACTGAAACGCTCCTACTCCTCCCCTGATATCAGCCAGGATCTGAGAGAGGAGGCCCAGAAGAAGGCCACTGCCCCGACCACTGCTGCTGTCATACCCACCATCAACAGGGAGACCAAGTAAGGCACACACACGTGAACTGAATTTCTTTGGATATATTACACATTATATTTCCTTTAGTCTTGTCTCTGAATAAAGAAGTCTGGCATTCTGTCATTGTGCCCCTCACAGACCTGCCACTGCTAAAGTCTATTCTAAAGTGGAGATTGTGCGACCTTCGGCTGCCAAAATTCGCAACCTGAATCCTACGTTTGGAGGTCTAGGTGCATCACTGACTGGCCTTCGTAACATGGGCAACACGTGCTACATGAACTCCATCTTGCAGTGTCTGTGTAACACTCCTGCCCTGGCTGAGTACTTCAACAACAATTATTACATGGAGGACATCAACAGGTTGGAGCCCAGAAAAGTGGAATTACTTCCCATAAAGATATCGGGTATGAGGAAATGTTTAACATCTCTGTGTCTGCTGTTTTCCTTTTCCAGGTACAACGTCCTTGGTCATAAAGGGGAGGTGGCAGAGGAGTTTGGTGTCATCATGAAGGCCCTGTGGTCCGGTCTGTACAAGTGCATCAGCCCGCGGGACTTCAAGATCACCATAGGCAAGATCAATGATCAGTTTGCTGGCTATGACCAGCAAGACTCCCAGGAGCTGCTGCTGTTCCTCATGGATGGACTCCATGAGGACCTCAACAAGGTAATGTGGACACTTGTTTCATGCAACTCGCATTACTACAAGTGTGGCATAAATAAAGACTTTAAAAGGTTTCTATATCAGCTAGGGGTGCAAAAAAAACAGAAAAGAGAAACGTTTACATCTAAATATGCTCATTATATAATATTCTTTTTAACCATGGCTTCTAAGGCTTGCCTGCTACTAGCCCTGTATGTTGTTGCACATTTGCCTGTTAACAATAAAAACTTAGTCTTTTATCATTTTCCTTCTTTCTGTTTTTTCACCGGGTTTCATTTTGATGGCAAATTAGAGAGTAAGTAAATAGCTGTGTGTCCTTGGTCCTCCTGCAGCAGTGTGAGTGTGGCGTGTCTGCATCTGTCTGGTCTGATGCTCTTTCAGAACCTCTGTGCATGTAGACCCAAGACATGCCTCATTGCCTGTATTGACTAATTTGACTGGTTTCATGTGCATTTGAATGGGGGAAAGGACTAGGAATTGTCATTTCATAGCTTGATATTGACGTTACTATTTTTAAACTCGCTGAAACATCAAAACCTGATTATTTTTCAAAGACATTCTTCCCTGTGAATGCCACCATAAGGTCTCAGAGAAGATGGTTATTAGAAGAACTTTTGGAGATACTGCCTCCATCTGGGGTTGAGTTGAAATACTACATTCACCCCATTTTGCTTATCAAGCTATTCACTCTTTTAAATTCATTAGGTTGTAACAGCTGATGATGTGCATTTCTCATGACACATTCTCCATCTCATCACGTCCCTTTTGTGTGATGTTCAGTTCTGTCTGCCATCAGGCTGTCTCTCCAGGCTAATTGATACATCGGTCAGTCTAATTGACCAGATATTAATTAGCAAGTGTTAACCTGCCTTTCATACCTTCCTGCCTATCCTAATAAGAGTGAACTGGCTGAACTGCATGCTAATGAGACTGAAAGAGATTAGTTAGGTGCTGAATGCAAAGTTTATCTTGTATTAGAAATTAGAAATTAGAAAATCCGTCTGTGGTTTTCCATTGTTCTCCATAATTCTGACCAGTATATTCCCAAACAATCATGGCACTTAAGTGGGATCATGAAGGCAGGTTTTTGCTAACACCTAAAGCTGCAGTTGTTCCCGTGTACCATCATATTGTTTTTCTGTTTCTGGTATCAGGCGGACAACAGGAAGCGGTACAAGGAGGAGGAAAACGACCATCTGGATGATCAGATGGCTGCCGACCTGGCCTGGAGCAAACACAAACTGCTGAACGAGTCCATCATTGTAGCGCTGTTCCAGGGACAGTTCAAGTCCACTGTGCAGTGTCTGACCTGCCATCGCAAGTCACGGACATTTGAGACCTTTATGTACCTGTCGCTGCCTCTGGCCTCCACCAGCAAGTGCTCCCTGCAGGTCGGTCAAACATTAAACATGTGCATCAGACGTGTGTCAGGAATGTTCTTTTTTTTTTTAATATAGTTTCTGATGAGCTACAGTGCATTTGTGAACATTTATACACTATTTTAACCTGCTATGGCTGTACTGTTCCAGACTTTATTTTTTGCCATTAAATGAGTTTCAGTGTCTTTCTCTTGACTGCATCATGGAGGCTTATAAAGTCTCAACAAAAATAAAAAGGCAGCTGTAACAGGTTTCTTTTAAATTTATTTGTAACTGTTGACTAAAATATTTGATGCTTCTTCGCAGGATTGTCTGAGACTGTTCTCTAAGGAAGAGAAGCTGACTGACAACAACAAGGTCTTCTGCAGACACTGCAAGGCACACAGAGATTCTACAAAGAAACTAGAGATCTGGAAGGTCCCACCCATTCTGCTGGTGCACTTAAAACGGTCTGTATTTGAAATTTGCATTTAAAAATATGTAAACCATGACCAAATAATTTGTCATTCTTCGTAAAACCTTTTTTAAATTACTTTTTGCAATGCTCACTTTCACTATTTTAGAAAATAAGATTGAAATATTTCCTAAACTTTTGGAAATTTGAATCTGGACTGATCTTTTTGGCTTTCTTCTGCAGATTCTCCTATGAGGGTAGATGGAAGCAGAAGCTGCAGACGTTTGTGGACTTCTCTTTAGACAATCTGGACCTGGCCCAGTATGTCATTGGACCCAAACAGAACCTGAAGAAATACAGCCTTTATGGAGTTTCAGTAAGTAGAAGTGAAATGTGCAAATATATTTTATATATTATAATAACAAATAACCATTCTGTATTTGTTTTAAAATGTATTTACACAGTTAAATTAATACAAATTGGTTACAGGAGAAGTCAAGAGACTGTAGGCTTATACAGTACTTTGTCCATGAAATAAAATGTAAAAACAACAATGATTCATTACAGTAATGAAAAAAGTAAACAGTAAGCCTTCACAGTTGAAACGGTTCAGGTTACTTCCTGCTGAATGGGACAACTATGCCACCTGCTGTTGCAAAGGATCACTTGTCATCAATACCAATCTGCTGTTTACCACAAGCCCACAGTGCTTCCTTTCCTGTCTGTGCTAGGGACAGTGCTTGACGTGTGTCATATGACTTGCCGTGGCGCTGTCCACTGGTGTGTTTTAGCCTTAAAAGATGCAGACAATATACATATACAGAGCAATGTATTATTATTATTATTGCTATAATGTATACTATACTTTTGTCTAGTCCATCTTTCTTAAGCTGTCAGTCCTTTGGTTGGGCGGGGTCCATAAATAGTTCTAATAAATAAGGCTATAACAAATGAGTTCTACTGTAGCATAGTTTATGAAAATAAAGACAGAATAACCTGTGCTCATACTGCCCAGGCAGGTTTTCTTCTCAAGAAAATTAATTTAGATGAAACACATTTTTATAAGTGAGCTTACATGAGAACTAGTTTGAGGTGTTTGTTAAGTAAACATTCAAAACTGCAGCTCCAGGTATTTTAAAAATAAGTATTCAATGTAATGATTGTCTAGCTGTTCAAACAAACTTAACATTCTTCTTTTCCACTACCAGAACCACTACGGGGGCCTGGATGGCGGCCATTACACAGCCTACTGTAAGAATGCTCTCAAACAGCGCTGGTACAAGTTTGATGACCACGAGGTGTCTGAAATCTCCACCTCTTCCGTGAAGTCCTCCGCTGCCTACATCCTGTTTTACTCCACGCTGTGATCGAGCTGTAGGACACAAAGAGGGAACACTCCATCAGGGCAGCGACACTAAAGCCTAGAGGTTGTTTTTTTTCTTTTTAAAATCACAGCTCTGAGGACATGGCGCACGTAGTTGCGGGGTAACTAGTGGTGTATGCGCACGCGAGGACGCTCTGAAAGAGTCTATGAGATCCCGTCTGTCGCAGAACGGAGAAAAGTGCAGGCACACTGTGCAATGCTTCAGCTACTAGAGGACCCTATACCTATTAAAACATGCTGTCTGTTCGTATTACTGATAATCTAGAGACTAAACAGATGCTCCTTTTACTCTGATTTCTATACCTTTATGGTTGTGTTGTAGGGTTGACAGCTGATTCAGATGCTCTTCACTGTCATTTCTGTTGCACTCAGTGTGGATGGCCGTATTGCAGAACTGATCTTCAGCTTTCTTGTACTGGGTATACACCAGGGTTAACAGTTAGATGCCATGTACATACTTACCAATGCTGATGTTGCACATACAAAAATGTAAATACTCGAGGGCAAGGTATCTGTTAAGTGACCAAATCATTATTTCTTTATATTCTTGAAAGTAGCAACCATCGTCGTATCACCATATTCATAAAGACAAACCATGTGTTTTAGGGGTTTAACTCTATAGCCTTCTGATGTTTAACATGATCTTAACGGTGATGGAACAGACTGTGTGTTGAATTTTGCATTCTTCTTAAAGAGAACAGGGAACTGAAATTGTTGCTTGTCCATATTAACCACATTCTTGCACTTACACAATATGCAATCAATTTAAGTTGTTTATGTAGAACACATTGTTTAACAGCAGACATTAGTACGCGACTCAGAATGCTCTAAAGTGATACTGATGCTGAGATCTTGTCTGTCTTGCTCGGTTCAGCCAGTGACCGAAGAACTTACCTGCTCCTATAAAGTTTGTTGTAGAATGTATTCTATGTTAAACATACTTAACTCTTTACATTATTATATTCAAACACAAAAAAAACTATTTTTAAAGGACAAATTATTGGCATAACTTTCTTGGCTTATACCAGTGATGTTTCTAAGAGGCTGGAATTTTGATTTATCGGATTCATCTTATTTCTGTATTCTGTGACCTGGTACAATATGAAGAGAAGAGAAATTCACTTTAACAAGTGCGCTAGTGTCAACATTTGCTGCCTGACTCACTGACCGACAAACTGACGAGAGCAAGCACAAAGTATTCTGATGTGGTGTTTTTTTCTTTTTTTTTTTTTTTTTGAATGGACCAGAGATCCGAGGTGGCAGGATTTGACTCACTACTTCCTGAGTACAGTTTTATTGCCTAGCATGAAATCATAATCAGTTTTTTACTTGTACATTTTATTTCTTAATGCTCTAAAAAAAAAAAAAGTTGTTTCAGATATAACGATTATATTAACCTCAAACAACTCGTATGACTATTTATTAAAATTGCTTCAAATTAGTGTGTTCATTTGTGTCTGTGAATGTTTCAGGATATATCAGCTACGGTGGTGTCACAAAAATGTATGTACAGGCAAACGACTGAATGAAACCGTGCCTGTATAAGACAATATGGTGTATAAACATTACATGGAAACAGTTGGCTATAATAATGGCACACAATGCTGGAATGTTTATTTGGAGTACAGGTTTGGAGAAGCCAGCAGAAAAACAAGATGTTACACTCCAGCAGCACTCTAGCATTGGACTTCAATAACGTTGTCAGACTGATAATGGATTGATGTGGCCTGCTTGGAGAGCTCAGAGTCCATGGATGTTTGGCTTTTGAAAGGGCTTGCAGCTGTAGAGCAGCATATAGGCATTTGGTGATTGCACGAGGCTGTCCTGTACCTCTCTGACGTCCGAGTCGTCAAAACAGTGCCAGGTCCGGGTTAGGGCGTTCTGACACAGAGCTGTATAGTGACCCATGTTAAGATGACCTGTATGGTTCTAGAGAAGGGAAGAGTTAACATACATTTTAGTACATAAAAAATGTCCCAGCAGATGGAAAAGAGAGGTCAAAACTCCATTGCTTTGCAGACATTCCATGCAAATATTATTATACTCTTGTTGAATTGATTTACATTTGACTAAGAGCTGTCATTTTCCTGTAGACACCTTATAAGAAAATCAAATCTGCAAGCTGCAGCAAAATGTATTGCCATACTGTGACATAAAAAAACAGGAAATGATGACAATAAGCAGCAACAAATAATAAATTGGTGACCCATTTTGTCTGTTTTTATATCTGATTGTCCCTATCAAAGTTATTATTTAGGCCGAGACTAATGCTGTTTTACTCTACCTATATAACAGCTGTACAGCAACACACTGTAAAAAAAGTCTAAACTTCACCTTCCAGATTAAAGTAACAAGCTAGTATTGACTGATACAGTTGAACTACATCAAACTACTGGTCAAAAGATATTTCACCTTCAAAATGATTCAACAATTAATTTAGCAAGTAGGGATCCGTGTGTGTGTGTGTGTGTGTGTGTGAGAGAGTGTGAGTGTGTTTACTCACCACAACAGCATAGAGGCAGTATGAAGAATATGAGGTCTTCTGTACCGAGCTGGATAGAAATGGAGTGAGATCGAGCTTCGTGGAGAACGTAACGTTAGTCCTCAGTTTCACCTGGTTCTTTCCCTTACAACCAAACCTGCACAGGAGATAAAGATCACATTGATTTAGAAGATATTATTGGTTTACAGCTAATAATACTCACAACATTAGCTCACCAGTATATCCAGTGTTTAGATGCAGCAGCACTTAATAATAGAATACATAACTCATGTTAGTGCATAAAGAATGCATGACTCTTATTGAATTGACGTTCAAGGCACTGTTATTTTGTGTACTTAACATTTAACAGTCCATAACTTCATGAAAGTTTACTCACAGTTAAAACATCCATAGTTAAACTCATCAAATTAGCTTGTCTTTCTCTTCTTCTGTGTCTGGCATTTTTTCTCTGACCTATCTCATTAACAAGATGGTTTGATGATAAATTATATGTTTAGTTTATCAATTATCCTTCAACTATTCACTCATGATCTCAGGTTTTATAAAGCTTGTGAAAGTATTTGCAAATGCATAAATAAAGAGCAAATGCAGACTATTCGAAGGTAAAACAAGTTTATCAGAAGAACAAACCAAAGTCTCTTTAGCAGCATTATACTTGATGATGAACTGTGTTGTTTTTGATGAGCCTGAACCAGACTCTCTGGTTCATAGCTAATCTAAGGACTTGTTAATTATCATAGACTCAACTGTAAGTCATACATTGAATGGGACAATACTTTGAACTGAGGTTTTGAAGAATTAAGTTTTTAACCCATGATTGAAAGCCCCAGACCAGCTTCTAAGTGGACCTTTTGGTAAGATTTTTGTATCAATGGTGATTCAAGATTGAAGACTCATCTATTAAACATGTACCCTTACAATAACCAGTTACCTTAACAGATAATTCTACCCACCGTTTCAGGTGCAACATGAGGATCTCTGGAGGTTTGTCCAAACAAGTGAGGACCGTTGTTTCTCTCCTCAGCCCACACACTGAACACAGCATCTGCTCTCCCCCGGTCAGGACAGTCTGCTCAAAGAACAGTGACAGGCAATCCTGCACAACACAGAGACACAACTGTGAGGAAGCACAGAATAATAAGGGCAAGACTATCAGTATCTAAAATAATACATGCATACTGTCTGGATGATGTTTTTAATGGTTTCAAGTTGTTAAAAAGGTACCTGAATGGAGCACTTAATGATGTGTGTTGGAATTGGAAGTGACAGCACAGTGAAGGTCTGTGTGCTGTGTGCCTGGTGATCGCAGTGCATGCAGAGGGTCATGTAGCTCAGTTGGCCCTCAAACAGATGCGAGACAATGGTAGACTCCCCAGCTGCAGTGGCACAGTTTCTATTCTGGTCTTGTCTCGGCTGTTGTTTTGAGGAGAGCATTTGGCGCTTTGCAACCTTGTAAACATAAACACGCAGAGTTACTCTTCCTGTAGGTGTAGTGATTTGCCACAGAGGTACCTGGTGAGTGCATAATGTGATAGATGTTGCTGCACCTTTTTGAGGTCATCATGGAGTGCATTGAGGAGAGAGAGCAGCAGTTCCTGGGCGTCTTGCTGGGAATAGTTGTTGAACTGGGGGAGGATGGAGCACAGCACAGACCTGGCCTCCACGGGGGCACAGCTGGAACTCCTTCCCATCCACATCTCGTCCAGCAGGCGCACAAACACCTCGGCCACCCGGCACCTGGACCTGTGTAAACAGAGGTTAAACCACTGGGAAAACATGACATTCAAGTGAGCCAGAAAGAGAGTTGGAGGGTGGTCTTACCTGGAAAGCTCTTTACGAGTGTCCTGATTAAGGAGGTGCTCCACGAGGGGCACAGTGGAACACAGACACTGTAACACAGCATTTAAGTAGCAGGAGTTTCCCGAGTTGTCCAAACCGCACACTCCTGCTCTGTTCCACCTTTGCAACCTCTTTGCTGATCTGCAGCCTGGTTTCTCATTTTCCATCACCAAACCACAGCTGATAGTATTTTTCCTGCAAGACCAGTGACAGAACAAAAACATTTGCATTCCTGTATTCAATGCATTAAACACTTTCTTAATCTACAACAGTTTTGATAATTGATTGCTGTAGTAATTTATCAAGCAGTCTACATTTCATTGTTTGTTGTAGATTACTCGAACAGTCCTATTTAATTGAATTCAGCTAAAGTTGCACTGAAATGAATTGAACTGAATTCAAAATAATGGAGCCTCAACAAATATTTTTAGAGATCTAATGCTTTCAAAAATAGAAAGTTATCACTGTACAACGGCTTTGGCTTGCCTTTTCTGTTTCTGTTTTATCATGAAGCCTATTATTAGCTTGGATTGACACTTCTAACAAACAGCAAGACTAACCTTTGCTTAGAAAAACTTCTCTCTGCATAGGAAGTGCTGTTCAGCTGCGGCAGAACAGGCACAGTGATGCTGCTGTCCACAGCCAGCTGAGAGGCTAGAGTCCTGGTGAAGTCAGTCATGTGGACCTGCCTGCCTGAGCCCTGGTTCTGCAGAGTGTGGAGCACAAATGTGTTGATGCAGATAATGTGTAACGTCGCCCAGAGGCCTGGGAGAAACACGTCTTCCACTGACCCTTTCAGGTCTGACAGAGGAAACAGAGCAGGTCCGGTCCAGCCTTGCAGGTGGGCTACTAGTTGAGACAGTGAGTCCTCAGATGTGTGTTGCTGATCTGGCATCACCACTATAGGTGATGTTTGGTCTGTGACTGGAGTTTTAACAGTTGGAACAAAATTAATATCGACCCCAAAGCCAGAGAAGATGTTTGTGAGTCTGCCCTCCATCCAAGCAGAGCTGTCCAGCTGAATGAGGTGTTTGTGACTGCAGAAAGGTCTCAGCAGGTGTCCGACCACCTGCTCAACTACAGGTTTTCTACTCTGCTTCTGGAGTTGCTCCGGACAGTATAGATACATGTTACAGATGAACCCCGAGCTCATGTCGCAGAGGAGGGCAAGATGAAGAGAGCAAGGACCCTGCTGGTAAGAAAGTCTGTATTTCTTCACAGCCAGGTTCTGACCAGGTGTGTATAAGGCCTGGTACCGCCTGGTTAAATGGTTACAGAAAGCAGAGAGGGCTTCCAACTTGTCTCCATCCTCCAGTCTGGTCAGAGACAAAAGGTTAGTCTGGAAGCTATTTCTCTTCAGGATGCCCTGCCATCCATCCAGTTTTAGGGTCAGCTCAGAGCCAAAGCCGCTACTTTTCTCTCCTACAGACAGACCGCTCTGTAGGACTATAGAGAACCATGTTAATGCCTCGGCATACTCCCCGTCGGAGAGATCTACACTTTGCTCTCTGCTCTGGATGTGTGACGGACGGTTAGCTCCTGCCTTCACACCAGCAGCTCTCCTGATCAGCTCCAAGACGGCTCCTCTGTCCAGAACTTCCAGCAGAAGCTCTCTGGCTGTATAGTAGATCTGGTAAGTGGGTCCAGTCTCAATCCTGGTGAGTGGCCTCACTTTTTTGGACCTGAAGATGTTTGGTAAACACAGGCTCTCCATCTGTGAGTCTCCATGCAGATCATCCACCAGGTGGCACTCCTCTGACATCCAAGTGCACTCCCTCACTGACAAAGCCTCAGCCTTCATCGTAGCCTCTCTGCTTGGTCTAAGAAAAAAAGACAGGATTCTCCCAACAGAGACCTCTGATCTAAAAAAACACTAAAAACCTGCCGTCTGCCTGAAATTCCTCCCTGTTGCCTGTTTAGTTTGAAAACAAAAGTGGAGAATAACCAGACATGCAGCGCACTCAAGGTGTTTTCCCGTTCTAAAGTGTGTCTGACAAACTGTGTGTACTGTACATGTGTGTATGTGTGTGTGCCGATCTGTTCTCAGGTGAAACACACACTCTGACACTCATGAGAATCTGCTGTTGAGGTAAATCACCAGGCATCCACTGTAGCCAGACAACTGTGTCTTGGCAACCTATAAACACAGCACTTTGATCACAGAGCAGCTCTCATGACATGTTTTTGTCCTCTTGTGCCTGATTTCAGGGTTTTGCTTGACACATAGACCAATTAGAAGCCATCGGTTTGCTTCATAGTGTAACTATCGGTTATTATTTGAATGTGATTATTTGAGATCGAAACAAGCTTTTAATCTTCTGTAAAAAATATAACTCCTGTACAGCAGCAGATGTTCAATTATTACATTCTTTATCTTTCCTTTGTATTATTTTTATTTGACACATGTCATGTCCACTCTGGAAAAGCCAGTTCTTGTGTACTACACTCCTCTCACTGCTATTGCCACTGTTGTTCTCTGGTATCTCCAGCCATGTGGCATATGTCCTCCAGATCCCACCTCACCCCATGCAGGTGTCATGACCGGCCGCTAGTGCAGCAACAAGGACGTGAACCCCTCAATGGCTTCCCACCCACAAGCACTGGAAAAGGAGTTTGTTTTGGTTCTTTGGGATAGGGGTGAGTGATTTAGTCCCGGTGACACTTGTTCATGCAAATGCATTCTTATCTAGCATGCAGACTGTACTGAGTTGCCCGTTCCTTTGCTGTGCTGGCATGTCTTGCTGTTGGAGTGGCCTACTACTCTTGAGCTTATCCCTAAAGGTGCCATCTGTGATCTGAATGTAAATATAAGAGTAGCCCTATCCCCAGCATTCAGATATATGATATCGTTCTCAATTGATGAACATAGACTAACACCAAACAAAATGTAGAAAACAACTAGACAGCTGAAGTCATGAACGTCTCTGATGGTGTTAAAGACTTACAACTACTACTACACTACACTATTAAATATAAAGAGTAATACAGACATACATTTTCAGTTAAGATCAGTTGAAAGTCAAAAGACAGTTCACTTATATGTGTCTCACAACATCAGTCTGAATATGAATAACTTTCTAGCAGTTCTGAGCTATTGACAGTGTATTCTGTATGTATCGCCATCAAGGTTGTCGCTCATTGATTGTTAGTTGTAAAACTGGTAACCTATTTTGTGTTTCTGGGTCTGGGAGACAGAAGTATATATTAAATAAAACATAACAAAATGTCCCAGGACATAGAAATGATAGCTTTCAAAGCTAGATTTATGGATACAAGTCATAGGAGTCCATAATTCAACAGCTCACCTTCTGGTTTCCTCATCCCTGCAACTTCATAAGATAAAAAAAAAACAAAAAAATAAAAATTGGTTGGTTTTAGGCAATGTCTCTGATGTCATACCATCTTTCTTTCTTTCTTTCTTTCTTTCTTTCTTTTTTGGCAGCACATAGAGACCTTCTGTTCGGCAGTATGAATGCTCCTCTGCTGCTAATGCTTTTGATCTGTTGACAAGTCAGCAGCTCTACTGAAGCTGTCCAAGGTTAAGTGCATGGCTCATCAGCACATCAACAGCGGCAATGCAGGAAAGCCAAAAGCAATTCATCCACTTTCCCAGCCCAAGAACTGGAGATTCACCTTTTGGGATTAACACAACAATCTCTCTAGCAATGTCATCAGTTCAAATTGTCAGGCTGCAGATTCTCCACAAGGGAGGGCTGTTTAGTCACTGTCAGTTCTACATGAGCCAACCTGTGTCCCCTAGAGGAGAGGGAAGTATCAGCAACATCACTTTATACCTGCTGATTTAGAAGAGATGATGTGGACTCCTAGAGGTAAAGAAAGTTGTAGCTACCACAGCTTTAACACTGGATGGTAAAAATGTTGTTAATCCATATCCACACAAATACTCATTGGTTTCCCACGTTGTAATACGCCATCAAGTCTACAGTTACAAACATTGGTAAGTCTTTAAAAAAGTGTCCCACTTTACATGAATAATAAACCACAAAGTCAGCAAGCATCAGTGTTAGTAAATCATTAATAAAGAGTCATAGATTGTTCAATGTATAAACCCTGTAATAAGCTGCCAAAACACTATCCATGTTGATATCTAGTTAGGACTCCACCTTCTCTCCAAACTAACCAACAGCAGTCATGTAGGATGACACTCCTGGCAGTCACAACTCTGCATTGGAATATGTTCCAGTTAAACAAACAGTAGCAGGTTTAAAGTGTAACATATAAACGGTCACGTACACAGATTGCAGCTAGAAAAATTTAAATAAGTGCACTGCACACTTATTGCATTGAGAAAGGTGTCAGGATTGTAAAATATATTACTTTGCTTGCCTGTAGATAACCTGCCAAACTGCTGTTGATCATACCTGTTATTCCTGCTGATGGTGCAGGTTGCAGGTTGAACTCGAACTGTACAGAGCTATTGCCATTGCAGCAAGATTGGTTAAACAAATAAAGTCTGGTAAATTTCAGACAAATTATTCAGCCAATGTTCTGTGTTTTGACAAAACACATTATTGCTTTTACACATTTGATCCAACATTCACCATATCGGAACACAAATGTCTGTTGGAAGCTTTAACTTTGGCTTCAGCACAATTGTAATATTACCAGCCTTTTGGCTTTGAAATGCAGATATATCCGGCAATAAAGACATAAAAACAAGAGGAATTTCTGAGCATTGTTGTACCTGATCATGATCAAAATTGGTAGTCCCTAAAGTACCCACGTTCATTTCACAACAATCCAGCTATTGCCATAATTAGTCTAAAGTTCACCTGACATTTTACCTGTAACCTCCTAAACAAAGTATTTCTGATTTCCAGTGTAAGCTAAATGTTCATTTGTTACATTTTAAGGCCCAGTGCAGAATGATGTGATGCTGTACATTTCTGTCATGCACAAGTAAGTCCCAGTAGCATTTTTTGGCAAGTGTTTTTTCCACAGTGAATCTACTTTATATGCTGCAGCACCGGGGCATCGTGACAATACCCTGCCTTCTGTCATTGAGGGTGGAAGAATCACACAATTACCTCAAGAGCTCTGCAAGCTCTCTTGCATAAATCAAATCCACTTTCAAGCTCAAAATATGTTAATCCATTAATATCAAAGGACCATCTTCACTCCTTCAGTGCACCCTTTGAGTTTTCTGCTTCTCCTCACATAAAACCTTT